AGTTCTTGCCCCTGTGTTTCATGTCTAGTTGTACTTCCTCCCCTATTCGCCCTATTCAGACTGCCAATTCAAGGCGCGATATTTACATAACTGTGAAGTTTTGCCTTCACTGTGAATGTCCCAGAGGTGTAATGGGGGGATGAAGTGGGGGGCACTGTACTGCCTTGAGAGGTAGTAACAGAGGCGTTACAGGGGCATGACTGGATGTTGCGGAGTCAGCGGGGGAGAACAGCACTGTATGTGTGCATATCTGAGTATGTGTGTATGCGGAGCCCCTGCTGTTTCTCTACTATTCGTGCTTCAGCAATGCTGTCAGGCAACGTGAATTCACAAATTCATTATGACGGCAGATCTTCGTTAAGAGGCTGTCGCCGAATCACACTCTGAAAAAAGGGCTAGTTTCACAGTCTAGTTCCACTTGGGAATTCCTCATCTATGTGAGACAGGCGTCGTTGAAGAGGCCGGGCCTCTGAGTGGACACTGCTGGCAGGGATCCCTGGCAATCCACAGCTTCCTGATTACCAGCTGCCCCACTCTACCTGTCAAACCCCAGTAACTGAGAAATAAACAGACAGCAAACAAAGAACTTAGCACCACCAACCACCACATCATGACAACAGGTTTGTCACTCTCACTTGTCTGCCAAGGCTAACTGAACCATGCACTCTGGAGAGGAGGAAGAGGCCTGTCCTCATGTGAAAACCACTGGAAGGGAAGCTGCAATCAGTAACAGAAGGGTTTTTTTTTTATATTGCCTCGAGACACACAGCTTCAGCCAACTCAAAATGAAAAGAGGCAGACTTTAAAGGCACTGAAAGTGTGTTTTTGGTTATTAGATTTATCAGACAGTCGTTGCAGCTCTGTTAAGGTTGGAGCCTTTTCGTGTCCCACTCCTGATTTTTTTCTTGTTGTCTCAATCTGTGGACATCTGCGCACTACAGAGACAAATTCCCCTAACTTGAGACACACTAGCCACCAAGAGGAGAACACAGGCCTATTAATAGGCTTCCTGCTCATAAAAGAGATGTGGCGGATCAGGTTTTTTGGAGGGAGTTTGATATGCATGTAATACAATATTAGTTCAATTGTGATGCACCGTCAGAGGCCCCCTCTATGGAAATCTGCATGAAATCACTGTCTGGGCAAGGTCGTAAATCACCAACACTGTTGTTTATTATTGCAGTACAGTTTTATGGAGGGCTGGCGCTTTGTTGGGACGTCCCGGAGAGGAATGCCCAACAGAGGACCTGCGATGTAATGGCCCCCTTTCTTTCCACGAGGGGGTTGATGGGAGTTCAGTGAGGATCAGGCCTCTTGAGAATTTCATGGTTACTGTAAAGCTTGATTAAAGCACAAAAACACCTACATGCTTGGTCTGTGAGACGAATCAAAGGATGATAAATCTCACAGAGAATCAAAGTTTGGATAGAAAATGTAAGTCAGGCCAAACAGGCACACTCTAGCTCTTATTTTTATTCCCGTCTGTTTTGTAAGAGTAGCCAAAGCGGCTGGCCGACATGCCACAAAACACCCACTTTTTCTCTCACAAAATGTCTCGCCTGGTTGTCTGAGTTTGTCTGCCAGGTCCCAGAGCATCGGGAAAACTTATCAAAGAACAGACGTCTATTCTATGCTGCAGAGAGAGAGAGAGAGAGAGCACAAGGCAGCCAGGACCTCAGACACTGCTTAGTCTTTCAGCTGTTTTCGGAAGTGGGAAAAGCACATTAGGGGTCACTGGTAGCAGCCTGACTCCCCTCGTCCAGCCTGGCAGACACACACCTCAGACCGGGGCCATCACTCCAACTCCATCTGAAAACATAATTGATCTGGATATTAAACGGGCCGTGCGGCTCGAAATAAAATTCCATGCATGCTTAATTCTCCAGCGTGGTTTTGGAGGCCGGACACTTTCTTCCCTGACCGGGCTTGTGTTACATGCTGTACTGTCTTAGCTGTGACCACCTCATAAAATCAGCCTCATAAATATTTCTCATGTGTTATTTAAACTAACTCTTTGGCCTAGAGTATTTGATTTATGATAATTATGCACGGAGGCTGCTATAGACATTTGGATAGAACTATTAGAAATATTTGGCCGAGCATTGTCTTTGAAGAAAATCTAGCATGTTTTTTTTTTTCTTTTGATGAATTGAATGAAAAAGATTAAATGCATTGTTAAGCACCTAAAGCAGCATTACATTTTACATGTTAGTTACAGTCCCCAAAGAATATGCCTTTCATAAGTGGCCTCCTTGGAAGTATTATAAAGCAGATATTGTGCACATTGAAAAGATGTGATTGGCAGCGTTGATTGGCATCTTTGGCATGATTTTGGCAAAAAGTTTCATACCGAAATGTTTAGTTTAAATTTTCTCCAACTTTGGTTTGTTTACTCCTGGTAGGCTTATCTGCTGACATCACTGTCAGTCTTTATTGATGGAGGCAGATAATAATGTCACTGAAGCAATATCAACAGAAAATGGCCCATTGTGAAGAGATGTCTGATAATACATAAATATTTTACTGTCATAGTATTTAGTTTTTTTAGGAGTTAAAGCTCCTGTGAAGGTTCATATTAACTTTGGCGCCCTCAGTGTCACATCTTAACTGTCTGCTGCTCTTTTGCCCTCTGGACGAGCAAGTCATGTTACCTGAATAAAAAAAAACATCCTGCTTTCTTTTAACCGCCAAATGTATCACTCATTGAGAATCTTTGCCATGGTAACGGTAAAAAAAAAGGTTGTTTCTGCAGCGCACTTTTTCTGACACCTACCCCACTGCAGTGGTTACAAGCATAAAGGGTTTCCTAAAGCGATGATCAATCACATCCCTGATGATCTTTTTTTGCTTTCGCTGGTCACAAAGAAGCATCACTATTAATCCCAGCTTCATAACTAGCTCCCTAACTATCCCACACATGAGCATTAAAAGAGTATTTTCTGCCTTTGGTTCAGTAAAAATCATTTAAAATATTTTAATTATAAGTTTTGAATTAAAAAAAAAAGAGTCAGAGGGTGACATGATGTAACAGTTCACAAATCAGTTTTATTAATTTAAACACAATCAAATAATAATGTCAAAAACATCTGTACACATATTTTGCAGACACAACAATCTTTTGCGTTTCACAATGAGGCCCGTGTAGTGTAAAGTATTTCCAGTTTGCATTTATGATTGCAACATAATAAAAAAAAAAGCGTGCTGTATGAATCTATAAAACATTTCCCCTATTTACCTTGATCTAGCAGCAATATGTAGATACCCCCCGAGTACAGGGGAAGAAGTCGTATGAAAAGATGGAGGAGGAGGAGGTTGTTTGGTGGGTGGGAATAGGAAGGGATTCCAAATTGAAATGTAAAGGCCGACAGTGATCATGTGCAAAGGAGGGAAAAAATGAGAAACACGACGGATCGGTTTCCGTTTAAGAAATTCACAGTCGATAGCACATGTCCTGTATGTTCACAAACCCTGTGAAGGTATAGTGGCTTTTCTCGCAATGTTCATTACAATTTCCCCATCCACAGATGTAGATACATTATAAAAACAAAAGGGCTTCATGTGTTTCAGCTATTTCAAAGAAGGACACGATATATTTTCAAATAAAAACACTACATCATAGAAAATGTTGCTCGCTGTACAAGAGTCGTTAAAGCGCTTGTATAAAAGATAATAAAACCTATTCAAGCCTGCTTTTTTTTTAAAACCTCAGATTTATTCAAATTTGTTGTTAAAGTGGCTCCCAGGAGGCCAGACATGTCAAGTATACACTTCCACACCGTAAGTGAAACCCTTCTCAGAATTAAGTTTGCTTCCAAATTGACGGGGTCGGTGCTGCAAGCTGGTGAAATGCTGTGAGGACACATTTGAATGTGAGCTACCATTCTGAATGACAAAAAGAAGAAAAGAAAGCCTTTTGCCCCTTTAGAACATGAGTCTAAAAAAGGGCTTGCAGAAGAGAAGAGCTGTTGAAGAGAAGTTTCCTCAGGACGAGAAACATCACAGAATCAGATGAGAGCGCATTGACACTTGACATCCATGCTTTTGGTCTTGACAAAACAATTTATCACAAAATCCCATTATCTACATATTTGTTTACTGAACAAAACTTGAACACTTCAACACTTTCAGGCCTCGCACAAGCTAATGTTGCGAGAGGATGCCTTTTTTTTTTTTTTTTTTTTTTTTACTTTCAATGAAAAGCGTTGCCACCTTTCAAGAGCACGTACCTAAATGAATATAGGAAGGAATAGTCCAGTGATTACAAACTTACACACACAAAAAAAAAAAGATTTCCTCTATACACGATTGTCTCAGCAATGTAAATAAAGATTTTAGTTTTTTTCTTAAATTAGTAGAAAACCCCTTTTTTCTTGTTTCTTCCATCAACGTCTTCCTCTCACTGTGGTGGAAACGAATAGTACTTTGTTAAAGGCACAAGTCTTTTTGTCATCGAGGTACCTTTTTGGTAGAACGGTGCCACCCACAAAGTCTCCGTTCATAAATAAGAAGCACAGGACTCCCGGGCCGACAGTTCCTTTGTGTGTCTGTCATATGACAGAAGAGAGCGAGTAGGCAGACAAATAAGAAAAAGGGTACAGGGGGAAAAGGAGGGAGCCAGAAGGACGGAGAAATGTCACCACCAGTAGTCGGCTGAGTTCTGTGGCGGGGCGAGGCCGTCAGTAGCTCTGCTCCCCTCACAGGTGTGAACCCTGACAGAGTCCCGGCACAAACAGGAGGCCGTAAAACACTTTGACAGCTTCAGAAAGCGGCCGATTCACAGTAACCAGGGCAAGCAGCTGCAGAGCCGTAAATTCACCTCTCTCCTTCGCTTCAAGATTTAAAAAAAAAAGAAAAAAAAAAAGTTTCAGGTTAAGACAAAGTGTGACCGTATGTCAGCACATTAACCGTGTGCTCAGCCTCTTTTTTTTTTTTTAAACCCCCATCCTCTTCTTCCTTTCTTCCTGTGGAGGGCAAGACAGACGCCAGGCAGCACTGGGGGGGGGGGGGGGGTGGCGGTGTAGACGGGTTTTTCTGAGCTGCAGGGTCTACAGTAAGCTTGGGACAGGGCTGGAGGGCAAAGGTGGAAGGCTGCAGGGTGTGCTGAGGCGGAGTCTAGTGGATGGTGGTGGTGCAGTGCTACAAGTAATCCAGGTCTAGAGCGTGGTGGAGGGCCATGAGGTCTGAATGGCTGGAGATCCTCCAGAAGGGCATGTTGTGCTATGAGATGAATCAAAACATCACAATATGTTAAAGAAGTGCTTTGTTGATTTAATGTGCTTTAATTTTGCACCATTTTTCAGTCAAAAAAAAGGAAATCTAAGCTCCTTTTTTTGGGACATATTAGAGTATTTTCGGACATTTCAAAGGCAGAATGAACAGAAAAGACTGATATCATTACTTGACTTTTATAAATAATTGAGTGACTCTCAGGCAGTCTTAGCACTTTCAAGACATGCTAAAAAGATTTGAATCCTCACACAGCTCCTCATAAATACAATAAGTGAAGCATCGGGAAAAGCCATCATTTCAAAAACGCAGTCCGACTGCTCTTCTAGCTCCCTTGTGCATATATCTTTACAATCAAGTAGTACTTCTGTACCACTCACTAATTTCTCTGCTGCATTAAGTGCATTTTTATTCCATCCAACTAATCCAGCTGCTGTCTTCAGCTTCAAAATCAAATTAACTCCCAACAGTGTCTTTAGAATAAACCTCCTTCCTGTCAATGTGTGTTTTAGGACAGTGCAAATGAGCTGTTGTTCCCGAGCAGAAACCTGAGAATCGCACAGAATGAAAGGAGCCTGTCAGGTAGAGTCCTCAGCCTCAGTGTGCGGAGTGACCCCCCCCCCCACCCCACCCCCCACCACCCCTTTATCAAAGGTACGGCCTCTCCCAGGCATATGTTCCGCTTAGGAGAGCCTGCACTGACCCTTAAAAAGCTCTTTGCTTTTTGTTTTGTAAATTGTCTTTGCTTTTAAGTTTAAAAGCTAGAGATGTTATCTCTGCCTTCTCTCCCAGGCGATGGTAATAACTGGAGGCAGGATTGTTTCAGCTTTTCTTTTTTTCTTTCTTTCTTCTTTCGTTTTAGATGAAGGAATAAGGCCTGAGAGGACTTTAAGACATTTTGCTTTTGTAGTTCCACACAGTGTCACGTCTGATATGTGCCTCATGACGGGTGAAATTGTTGTGTTATTTCACGTCCTCTCTGATGTTGACACAGAAACCTTTTACCGCATGGTGTGTCGTGGGACTCACACCACTCAGACAAGGGGGGAAAAAAACCCTCCTTATCCCTCCATCAATGTCACACTCCGACAACTCAAGACTGAGTAAAAATATTTGCATTTTTTCCCTCCACGATTATCCCTCAAGACCTTATTCCCAGGGTGTGTTCACTTTTCATAATACAGAGCTATTCTTTTACACACTTATCCAGGCGAAAGGTTGCTACTTCTTCCCTAAACGCCGCATAGTCACTCTTCATCTGTCTTCACGCTTCTCCTCATTGTTTACTGAGAAACAGGTGAAAAAGGAGCAGCAGGATTTTCAAAGGGAAAGTCCAAGTCTTCAGCCTAACACTGCGGCTCACCGACACTGACAGTGAAGTATGCTCTCGGGCCGCTGATTCATTTGCAAATGAATACGTTTGCTGTGTGCAGTTTGCACGCTACATTTGTTTTACATTCAAACTTGGCAAAAATGCTCAATTTACAAATTAGGGAGCAAGATCCAACAGGTACTCTAAGAAGTTCTTCTGAACACAGATACAGCAGGCATTGCCTTGATCTCTCCGGTGCTAACAGGCTTGTGATTGCAGTAAATATTCTAATTCCATCAACAATGATTTAAGGCTTTTTCTGCGTGCCCTGTTTACGCTGTGGCTTCAACATGCTTGAAAGGGCCTGCCGAGCATTACACACACAGCATTCATGCTGCTCAGGGCACCGAGCAGGAATATATAATTATGCCATCTCTCCCCTCCCCTGCTCTGTAAACCTGAGACGGCAGAGGAAGAGCGCTGATTACACACTACAGACTTTCTCTCTTGTACTTGGATGCACTATAAGCGGATAAACGAATGAAAGTAAAGTAAGACTGTTGAAAGGCCGAGCCAGAGCGCTGATTCCTTTCTTTGGAGAGGTATGGCAGGTATGTTTTGTGTTCTGTAAGCATTCATCCTGAACTCCTGACCTCACAGAAAGTAATAACAGGTCCAAACATTTTTCTTTACTCTTAGCGCTGTTTATTTCTCCCTCAATGATGCCATGTATTTACAGGATATGGTATCTATAATTGTCAGACTTCTTACCTTTTTCGAGCCTTGCTCCTCTTCCACACCATCGCCGACCACAATGTAAACAACTTTCCTCCCGAATCTTTGAATTACTCTCTCAAAGCAGCTCTCCTTCCCTGTGGAGGAGTCGACAGCAGCATTTCAGTGGAGCATTACACACACACAGATACATAGACTCCCACTAAACACCATCAAGTTGATTCAAAGGCACAGGGTGACAAGAGCCCCTTCAAAAACACCAAGCACGCACAAAACAGGGCAGAGTGTAAACACTTTGAGCTCAGCGAGGAGATGTGATAAGATCAGCCTTTAGATAAAGCCAATCTGAAAGGCATTAACTCTGCCCTCCTTCTCCTCAAATGCACTTAAATCAGTTAAATCACTCATTCATGCTACAGGCTCTGGTAAGGAGGACCAGTGCGCTTCAGTTCAGAGGAACCCCGAGCTACACTAACCCTGCATCGACGAGGCCTGAAAATGGTGCAGGAGTGAAGCTGGATGTTTATTTTGCATTAGAAACAGTGAAGAAGGAAAGGGGGGGAGGTGGTGGTGGGGGGCAGCTTGTTTCTGAGGAATGACATAAATGTGCAGAAGTGGTTTCATATGTATGCACACTGAACAGGAGAGGCCTGGGGAGGCCCAGTACAGGCCAAACACCAGGAAAATAATCTCAGGCTGATTAGTCTTATTCCTTCATAGAGGAACATCAATCCTCTCCAGTGACTTAATCTCCCACCCAATCCACGCCTCTGTCCTGTCACTTAGGTAGCATGTGTCTGAAATGTGTACCAAGCTAGAAAAAGAACCATTAGTGTCACCAAAGGGATTAAAGCAAAAGAATCGCACAGTGTTTACCTATTTTGGTTGCACTATAAATATTCTCGATAGGAAAGACTATTCCCAGGCCGTAGAGCAGGACCTTAGCCAGGGCAGGGATGAGCTGCGTGGTGGTCACCAGGATATTTACACAGTTTGACCTACAGTAGAGAAAAGAGAGGAGAGCAAAGGGATTATACTGAATGAAGAGAAAAATCATCCAAAAGATAACTTGCTGCACAACAGTTTTCTTCAATAGCTCAAGAGTACAGAGTTCACTTATTTACACCCCATGTGTGTTTCTGAAAAACTGTGGTATGGGACTGGGTACAATTTTCCTCACTGGATTCCTACCTTGAGTGGATTAATGTTAGTGCTTTCAGTGCCAGTGTTAACCAGGAGTCCGTCAAGGCTTCAATTTCTGCTCGCAATTGCAACCAGGCTTCCCTTTTGGCTGGGCCCAGCAGACCTGAAACGTAGGGAAACATTGTTTGGGTTGGACATGCACTCCGAATACCACTGAAATTTTCAAAATTTACCCTGACCGGGTGGTGCGGCATGTGTGCTTTTAGAGCACACACTTGAACACGCACAGACTCTCACACAAACGCCAACGTAATGATGGCACAACTCATTTATACTGGACAGAACTGCTCCTCGCTGGGGATTACCTCCGACGTTATTTTTGTAGGTGGTGTAGATTTCTTTTACTCGTCTGTAGCGGAAGGCAAGTTTTCTCATCCAGTCCACGCCTCCCCGCACGCCTGTGGCCAGACATAGATTGGCACTGGTCGCTGCTGCGTGGAAACCGTCAGCGCCGAAGTTATAAGTACTGAAATAAAGATGAAGGAAGAAACTATTAGTACAAGTGCACAAACATTGAACGTGACAATATAAACAGGTTGTTTGACTGTTGATTCAAGAATGAAAGTGAAACAGTGTTGTACCTCAAATCCTGGCCGTTGTCATCAGAGGACACATCATCGATATGTACCTGGTCACATTCCTGGAATACACAGAACACAATTTGAGAAACTAAGGAGTCACACATTTAAAGAGAGGTTTCTCCTTTTAAAAAAAGATTCCCGTGTATGTTCCAGGTCATTTTCCTCTAAAAACAACATATTTATTCAGGAATTTGTACTTTGGCCGGACATCATGCTCCTAATCCTTTTTTGCCTTGAGTTTCTCTTCATATGCTTTTGAATCACTGCCCATTTCCCTGTCCCTCACCAGCTCTGTCCAAACAAAAACTAACCTCATCATCAGTGGGGAAGCAGTGCTACCACTAGAGGGGTCCAACGATATGCACACCCACAGACAAAACCAATTAAGTCTCAATCTAAACTCTAAACACTCCCCAGGTTTTTCACTTGAGCAGCTATTTCTGCAATACTGATATATATACATACAGTAGAAGGACGTATGTGGGCTAGCTGGATGTATAAAGGACCTTGGCACTAATGGTCTGTGTGTGTGTGTGTGTGTGTGCATCTCTAAACATATGTGTGCACTCCTCTTCCCCCTGTGGGGGTGCCAGGCTCCTCTTGGAAAGGTAGAGGGATTCTGCAGCTCTGCACTGATTCCACCGGTACACAGTAACACAATCCAGACTTTCTGGTAAATGTAACCTACTAGAAAAATTGAACCTGATGCTAACCGCCAATGAAATTATGACCTCTGATTGCTGCTGCGCCACACACCAACACAGCCCTGGGGCCAGGCAGCCGGCAAGAGAGCTCAGGAGAAAGCAGACTGAAAATCTGTTATTAGTTTTCCATTTATAGGAGAGCGCTAGTGCCTCCCCCCTTCCCTCCCTCCTCTCCTCTCTCTGCCCTCTCAGCCAGCTTGAAATGTGCAGGAGTCCTGCAATGGCATTCAGATCAACACTTTGCACACGGGGCAGAGCAGAGGGAGACTTGCTAAGCTTATTTTTTGCTAAATCTTAGGATTGCTAGCTTTAAGAATTAGCCTTGACAAGGGCATGTGACTTCAAAATCTGAATTTGTTCCACTCACCGCTAATCTAGAAGAAATAACAGAAAGCGCATTTAATATCTCTTTTCCCAGCAAAGTTATACATAAAATAGGTTGAGTAAATGCCATAACAGGTTAGTGTCACCTGTTTAAAGTGAAGTGAGAAAAAAATAATTTCTTGTGGAAGTTGAAACTTGCAGGAGAAAATTCCTGCGGCCCTCCTGATTTTTCAAGCTTTTTAATTAAGTTTCATCCGGTTGTTAAGACACCAAAACACAAAAAGGACTTCCTTGTTTTAAGTCAATCTAACTGATGCCAAATGCTGACGTTATTGCATTCCTCTCTAATGCTGGAGCGGGGTAAGGGTAATGGCTTTGGACTGTAAACCTTTTTTATTTTACTGGTTCCCCTCTGAACAAATTTTTCATCTCCCTGGATTTGTGGGGAGAGGGAGGGTGAGAGTGACGTGCTGAGAAACTCAAACCAGCTGTTCTTTAACAGAATTAAAATCTTGACCCCCAACCCCTGCTCTAATGCAGCCATTCTCTCGCCAAGCCTCTCCCAGCAAGCCCCGAGATCCAAAGAGGAAAAGACTTTGACCCCGTGACCCCTCTCCCCTCCTCTCTGGGGCTCCGGCACCCCGATAAGGGGGAGGTTGGAGGGTAGAGAGGTGGAAATGGAAGAGAGTGGAGGGTAAAGGCTGGGGGATAGAGTCCAAAGTGACCTCACAAGGAGCAAACGCTGAGCCCTGAGTTCCAGGGGACGATCTGCCAATTGGAGACATGTTTTTAGCTCAGTTGGCTTAATCTGTTTCAAGATACTCCCCAGCAGATCTTCTATATTTGAAGAAAACAGCAATTTGTCGCAGCTTGAAGATCTGCTGCCAACAAACTGAAGGATAAATGATGTGTCACAACTCGAAAACTACCGCAGAATTCAGAACTCAGGCCAGAACTGTTGGTTTCCTTAATTCCTTAAGTAGTGAAGGCATGTCTGTTTGTTCAGCACAACAAAACCTGCTGGGTTAAGCACCTCGTAAATCTGTCTTTTAAAGACCTTCCATTCTGGTGCAAGTGACTGGAATGCTTCAATTGTGCAGTAATCACCTACTGATGAATCACACACAATTGGTCCACTTTCACTTTAATACAACCATTCAGTTCCAATTGTTTTCTACATCACTGCCTAATTATATGCTGTCTCCCTGACAACAATAGTTCCTCATGTTTTTTCTTCCCCTGTCATGTGTTTCTCTCAGAGTCTGACAGCTAGCATGGATCCAAACAGAGATCTGAGAGCAAAATTACAAAGTGTTAATTATGGGGTTACTTTAGGAGCAGGAGCTAAAATTCCAACACAAACCCAAACACAGAGATCTGAGTCATACATTGGACTATAGTCATTAAAACTGCTGCCTCATGATCAAAGATATTTAATGTATTTGAAAGTTAAACAAATGTGTGGAGAATAAAGTGGAGTGGGCTAGTTGAGGAAAAAACAGACTCCAACAATTACGGTTCCCAGCTGGGGCCGGTATAAACCTCTGCACCGGCTTCCTGGGAGGACTGGGAGCGCTGATGGAGGAGGTGGTTGTGGTTAATGTCGTACAGTAACCCTTACACGTACTCATTAGGAGCCACTTCTGAAGGCCTCGTAAACACCACAGAGCCGTGGACTCTGCAGGTTAGAGTCAGTTTAGTACAGTCGTATAGTGGAATTGGATGGGATGGAAACGAAATCTTTGGGGCGATGAACTTTACTCGCTGACTGACTCTAAAAACTTCAATTGTGGTTGAATGGAAACGGAATGGGTAGGAATGGAAATAATTAGAGAATATTAAAAAAAAAACGCATGCTGAGTAGGCCTGCATGATATGAGAAAAATATACGATTTGCAATGACATAATCAATATTGTGATAATATGAAGTTCAACAAATAATAGAGTGCATGTTAGCTATCTCTTACAACTTTTATGTCTATCTTCTGTTCTTCATGTTTTACATAAAACCTGTGTTTGGAGCATTGTTTTACTGAATTCAATTAAACACAAAAATATATTTTTTTTACCTCTAAACTGCCCCAATTAATCTGAAGGTAGCTGCTAGTCAGCTTAAGCTTCATATGACTGCATCAAAATGGTGAAAAAAAAAATTGTGATAAATTCAGACTTAGAATATGGAAAGACAAAAGGAGAAAATACTTTAAAAAAAAGTGTTACCTTGTGACAAATAGGCTCTAATTCATAAGCACTCTGAGTTGCTGTCACTGACTCATTGGAAAGCTTCAAAAAGAAATAACATCCTGCTTTTATTTTGTTTGTATAGCGAATAACAAAAGAATGACAGGCCTTCATAGTGCTGGTACTTTGAGGGGCGGCCTGAGAATTTCTTAGAACCTTTTGAACATCTCTTTTTTCCATCGAATCCCCCCCATTCTCCCCTCACCAAGCAAACAGTGGTCTTTCTAAAACCTACAATCACTGCTAACTCGCACCAGATGTTCCTACTGTACTCAGGAGTGAAGACCCTCCACCAGAAGCCATCGCAATTACTCCTTATGCAAACACTGTGTCGCTCTGTTAAATTCATCAGGAGCCTTCTTTCTTTTATCAGTCTTCCCTGCTAGCAGACAGTCTGTATCTGCACAGGAAAGACGAAAAACACCCAAAAATGTGCATCAATTGAAGACAGGGTGATTCAGGATGCTCCCATCTCTACATCATTCACCCTCTCTTCCTCTCCCTGTCTCTCTGTCTTTCCACTGGTCTGCTGAAAACTCTTCACTGCCGAGGAAGTTATCAGAGCCCTCTTTGTTCCCCTGGCGTCTGTCATTAAGCAATCAGTGATGACGGCCTGAGTCTTCCTGCAGCCCTGGAGAGAGCTCAGAGTGGTGACTGCAGCAGTCAGAGGCCGGGAGAAGAAAGACTGGCGAGTCAGAAATACATGTTGCCAAAACACAGAAAGGATAGAGCTTTTTTTAAAATGTGGAACCCGGGTTTTCCCACAAAGGTTGAGGTCACCCTGTAAGACAGTGTCCACTTTTTCCTGCCCCGCTCGCCCCCTCTCTCTCAGGTGAGCTGTCGGTGGGTGGGGGGGGTGGGTGGTCAGAACCACACTGGGAGCGATAACAGCCGTCATCACAATATTCCTTGTGACCCTACAGGCTAATGCCATGTGAAAAAGACTCATCCATGGTTCGCAGGTTCTCAATACGCCACTCCACCGGCAGTGGCTGTCATCCCCCCCGCGGTCTGTGACCCCCAGCAACTTCCTTCTCCGTTCCCACCACAGGCACCCCTGTCTGGGGGGGGGGGGTGTAAGAGAGGGGTGTGCAGAAGGGAAGAGTGGGGGTTGTGATTACCTGGGGGTCAAACACAGGATGTGGGTAACAAAGGCAGAGTTCTTCGGACCCACTTCATTCCAATCCACAATCTGTGCTTGAACAGCCATGGAATTCAAACAGCGGCGCCAAACAAAGCACAGGTATAGAGACGTCCATGCCTGTTTTACAGAAATTCACACGATCGGGAGGAGGGATTCAGAGGGAGCAGGAGTGGGATTTGCTCAGAAACAGACTGAATTTGACAAAGTAGGCCATGAAGCGCTCTTGCAGTGACTGGAAAAGTTGAAAAAAAAACACCCAACAGGTAGGCAGCGAAAAGTATAATTAAGTTATGTGTGATGGATGAGCTGCTTTTCACTTTTCCTACTTATAGGGCTGCAAGTCCAAACCACACCTTGAGGAGGGCCACATTAAATGCAATATCAAATCTCAGTCATTTCAGCATTTCTCCTCTTCAACATAAAAAAAAAACCAGTTTATTCTTGCCAAGTGGACTGTTGTTTGGACAAATCTGTGAAAGTATCTGTTCTGTTCTCCACATACAGGTGCTGTCCCTCCCAACTTAACATTATCATTTGTTAACAGACAGTAATGTAATATTTTCTGTGCACCTTCAACCCCTATTTGGGAGCAAGGTGGGTGTGAAGTGGAGCTCTGTGGAGGGAAGATTGACAGGGTGGCTTTGAAACCTCCACTTTCCCTTTGTAGTCTTTCCAAAACACATCAGTAGTCCCGCTCGAGACGTGATGGATGTTGAGGAGCATGAAAGAAGTGCTGCATCAGTAGCCAGGCACATGACGAAATACCCACATTAGTGTGTGGAGACCCAAAGAAGCCCATCTGACCAAATAAACTGTGTGAAAAGGCTTTTTTTCACTGCTGCAACTTGGTTTCAGCAGTGAATTTTGAAAATTTGAAGTGAGGAACTGCAAACGAATGGTTTCATAGTTTTTGACCGGTGCAGATCAACATTGTGAAGGCGTTTTAAAAATAGAAATAAATGTAAATGCTAAAAAGCTACAGTGTTAAATGGTAGCCTATCAACTGAATGACTTAATTTCCTGATTCAATGAAAAGAACAGTAAGCATTATGTTCCACCTTACTGGGAATAAAACCACAAAAAAAAACACCATCAAGGAAAACACCATAAAGCTACCAATCATTTGGAATGGCGACTACAGACTGACTCTACAGTGGGAAATAAAACCAACAGAACGGCTCCACAGTAAGAGGCTCTGGAGGGCTGTTTCAGCCACGAGGAGAAAGGTATCCATGCGTTTCACAGTGTCTCTCATTAACAGGCAGCCGCTGGGTGAGAGTGACAGAGGAGGTTTCAACCCTGTGACTGCAGGCTGGGAGCTATAAAAGGCCCTCAGCTCAGTGACACAGGGTTAGTCCACAGGTACATGTGTGAGAGAGAATAAGACTTTGTGGGTGACCTTTTGATTGTTTGCATAGTTGGTGTTTAAATGTGTGAGCGAGTGTTACATTTTGCAGCAGAAAGTGTTAAGAGTGCATGTGCACAGTGTGAAGACGTCATTGGAGTAATTCAAAATGTTCCCACCTTTAGACACCTCTCCCCCTCTCTCTCCCTGTGAGTGGTTTGCCCCCATGCCCTTTATCCTCCAGACAGGGAGGGTTGTTTTCTCACCCAGGGAAGAGGGGGAGGCAGTTAGCCCTGTGTACCCCACTGAGAGGGGAGCACAGGGGGCTCAGCCAGCAAAAAAGGGGCCCCCGTTTCCCATAGTGCTCGGCGTTAGCTTTACCTACAGTAAACTCACACCCTGAGTCACAGCAGAGCTGTCAGTCTTCACAGTGAGCTCAGCCTCAGTGGGCTTCATTATACACATCACTTCGGACCATCAGTTAACTCCATGTTCAACCCCATGACACAGACCCAGCCTCCAGTGAAGGTTATTCACTGCACTTCAAAAAGAAAGTCTTCTCACTTATTTATTCATAAATGTCTAAGTATTTTATAACAACGAAAGAATTATTATTCATTTTAAATCATGGAAATCTAATAATACAACAAACAAGATAATACAATGAAATATATATCTTGATTGAATGTATCCATAATTAACAAATACACATTTTTAAAAGATTATTTTTTTAGATTTTTTGTTAAGCTTAAACATTGATTTTCCGTCATAATGAACATTTGTCAGCCACTCATGACCCTCTAATCACTTTGTCAAAAGTGTTTTCTGTTGACCTGGGAGCCTCAGGGCAGCCAGCTCTGCACACTGAAAGACAATAAGAACCTGGTGAAAAGTTAAAGAGGTGTTTTTCTGTTGTGTTGGCTTTTTTGTTGCTCATTTTTGTGTATGTATGTATTGTTGTTAAACAATTAAATAAATCTGTTTGAAAAAAAAAAAAAAACGTTATCTATTGAAATAAAATTTCTTCTAGAGGAAAAACAAATGCAGATGAGTTTTAGGGATCACATTTCACTGAGTTACCTTACTGACACTTCCCGCATTGAGAGCATTTTGTGGATACAAAAAGATTCTTTTAAAGGGCTGAGCAGGAAGATCAGTTTGTGTAATTTGTGTTTGTGGGTTTGCAGGGGAACTCTTTATTTCGGCATTATTTCTGCGAAATCTTAAACATAACTGTGAATAAAAAAGGAGAGCGCTGATCCAGAATAATTAGAGAAGAAAGAAAGAGAGAGAGAGAGAGAGAGAGAGAGAGAGAGAGAGAGAGAGAGAGAGAGAGCGATAGAGAGAGAGAGACGTAAAGGTGAAACTGATCCCTGTTGACCCCTTTGGCATGCCCTCTTTCTTTTTATGACTTTCCTCTGAATCGTCACTCAGCAGCTCTATCAACACGGCCCAGCCTCCACTCTCACACACTCTCTCTCACACACACTTGACCATATAATACACAAGAACAGAGTGTTTACTCAGGCTTCTGCAGGCTGAGCACAAAACGATGCTCAATTGTGATTAACAGAGCTGTAGATAAGCTTTGTGCATTGTTTAAAACTAATTAAACACAAAATTTAACTTAGGCAAAATGAACTGTGGTTGCCCTTATAGTGGCTGTGTGACCATATTTAATGTTCTTGAGCAGAGGCTGGCAGAACAACAGTGTTAAGACTTCGATGGAGCACTCACACACAACGCTAAGGCCACTAACTCTGCACCTGTGTTTCTGCACAGCCTTTGGGGTCTCCCTTTATGGCTTAGACTAAATTAGATGGACCATATGCATTTCTGCACATGCTTAAATACATAACTGCTGCTGGCTGCAGTATTTATAGTTGGACTCTATTTAGCTCTATCGTAGATGGAGGACTGTAAATCAGCAGAGAGGAAACACAACTGGTTAGGCATTGCTGAGAACTGGCACTTAACACTCGGACTGGCCGAGCTCATTTTAAGAGGAGAGATCAATACGCCTTCGAGAGAATGTCACTCCTCCTCTGGTGTGATTGTTAATGACAATCACTGCAGCGTCTGCAAAGAGAGCTTTACAGTACGGTTCTGAGAAAGTTTGTAGCAGACCACAGATTGTTGTTAAAATCATAAGAAAATACTCTGGCTTTAGTTTTTGTAAAAAAAAAAAAATCTCAAGCTTTAAAGTGTCAAAACAAAATCTAATAATTTTGTCACTGAGATAGAGCAGAAGAAACAAACTTGTTTCATTTTTAAATAATTCTATAAGCTGGCAGAGCTGCCAATTCGTCGGAGAACAGTTCCATCACACATGAAAAGAAATCAAAACACAGGACAGATGTGGTGAAAAACCACATTTAAGCATTGTCACAAACTGCCATCTTTTCAAATGATTGGGGCAGATCTGTTAAATAAAGTGCAGCTTCAACGGATTCTACACGGCCAGGGCATAAGGAAATATTTAACCAGCCAATTGCAGCCAATTAACTTTGATCACGACGACTGCGTTTGGAATCTCAGTCACTCATCCGTCTGGGAGAGTATGAACATTTTTTCCCTGTGTCTTTTTTTTTTTTTTTTTCCGTTTCTCCCCTCCCTCTTTGGTTTGTTTCATGTAACACAGCCGAACATGGTGGTGAGTAATGAGACTTGGCAGACGGGCTGCAGATCTCCTCACACTTCAGTATCAAACAAAACATTTCCTCTACTGCGAGTGTGAGGTCAGCAGAAAGCAGGACAGTGAGGGAAGCACTCGGTCAGTGGGATCACATTCACCGGTTAAAACAGGCGGAGGGAAGGGACAAAAGGTGCTAAGACAAAAAACAATAAAAATCAAAAAGGGATAAATCTAAAAATTAGTAAATACAGAGACAAATTAATTTATTTGTAAAATCAGCAGATCTTTGGTGTTTGGTTAGGTTGGTTAAAATCTGCCCTGAATGAGAACAAATGGGCCACATGCTTTTCCGTACATACAGTCTGAGCTCTCCCCAGGGTGAAGTAGACACTCAGACACCACTACGCATGTACGCATGCACACACGCACACACACACACACACACACGCATCCTTGATCCCTCTATTCCTGTGCCCCAGGGGCAGATTTTACACCAGCCATACATGAATCAGGGAGGCAAAGAGGCGTGGGAGGGGAGACGGCGGGGGATTTCATGCTGTGACCGAAAGCTCTATGGTGTGGGTGGACAGCGACACCGAGCAAACAGCATGACACACAGACACACAGACGGAGCGGCCACAGAAACACCGGAGCCTGACAAATTGTGCTAGCTTCTATGAGGGGCTGGTGACCCAGGAATGACAGAGACTGACATCATATGTAAAATTCATGGTATTCCTGGGGCTCGGAGGTAATACTTCACCACTATGGGACAGATAACTGAGAAACAGGTGTCATGCTATGTATGCTTGTTGCTGCTTTTACTGAAATCCTTGTACAATTTTTCTTCTGCTCCTGTTTGGTCATTTAAATTCTCCTCTGACCATTGGAACCATCATAAGGTGAACACAAGAGTGTGAAGAAAAGGAAAAAAGGAGAGCTAAAGAAAGCTTAAAGAAAAGAGAAACAATTAAGAAATTGTCGCACCTCTAAGTCGTTGAAGAATAAGTGTGTGTCTGCCAGGTTGAAGATCATTTCCTCCATCCTCAAGCCTAATGACACAGAGGTCGGCGGATCCTGAAAAACACACAAAATGAAATAATTACCCAACTGCTGTATACTGAGGTACTTTTTCCATTTTGAAAGAGTTAATGTGAAACAATAAATAACGCTGTTCCCTCTTAGTCACTCAATTAACGCTGAATCCCTTTAAATTCCCCAGCAGACCGTTCCCATAAAAGAAGACATTAGGCAGACTTGAAAGTTCTGGCCTCTGTTTATGAGCCTCCGAAAGAGACCAGAATAGTCATCAGAAATGCCACAGACTTGAATGAATGCAGTAAAAGCATGTCTCTTCTCAGGAGGGGTGGTCGATCTAGAAGAGTTGGGGTCACAGTCTCATCGTAAATAGTCCATTCTCCACATACTTGTGTGGATGCATCATGTGATCACTCAAGAGGGGGATATAACACAATTCCCCCTGAAGCGAACACACTGAGGCGTTTGTATTCAAATGTAAAATTCTGATGCTGATTTCCTTTATTCGGCATAGCTTCAATGTTTTCTGAAGTCGAGCTGTCCGTCAGTAACGTGACACATGCTGTAATGGTAATTAGGTTGCAGTGTCTGTAAGATAACACCCAAAGAGAAGCCAACTACACTTAAATAGTTAATGAGTCTGTGACAATGTGTGACATTTTCTTTTAAAAAAAGATCATGAAAATGCAAAAAAATAGTTATTTCAGGGCTTTTTCTCACACTTCTGCTTGACCATTTTAACAGCGTGATAATAACACTTTTCACACATTAATTGCTTTTAATATTAATCTATATAATGTAGATTATTTTTTTCAGCAAACAAAGGTAGAGTAATAAAAGCAGGCTGTCAAGGAGAGCTTCATGCAGCTGGTTGAGACTGCGTTAAAGAGTCTCTACTCAGGACCTGAAACAGGGATTACAGAGTTAAACCACCTAAGGACACACCTGAGCTTTCTGCTGATTAGCTGTCACACCCCACAATGCTAATGTTTTCACTAAAATGACAGAGGACAAACCACACAAGTAGAGCTCAATCCCCACTTCCAACCCTGCTTTCCTCCCTCTTCACCTCCCAGTCTGAATCAATCTTTCAGTCAGAATTCATCAAAAATAATTAGCCTCCCACATCAGCAGAACACCAGCTCCCTCTCTCTAACCTCTGGCGCTGCTCTGTGATTTAGTATTATGGTCTGGTTTGGTGGGAAAGGGAACTCTTCTCCGGGCCAAGTGAATCCTTTCCAATTAAATCTAAACAATCAGTCAGTGAGGGAGTTAAGAATACAAGCAGGCCAGAAGGCCAAAGTGCTGCTGCTGTCATTGCTGCAGCACCACCTGTCCCGAGACGTCAGTGCCATCCACAGGGGCGCCAAGTCCCCCCACTACCAATAACAACCCCCCCAACCCCACCCACTTTAAGCTCGAGCTCTGGCCAGCCCAATGGCTGCACAGCTGGCCTCAGCCATCAGCTTTAGGGGGGTGAGCTGCCTTGATGCCAATTAAAAGAGCTGATATGAGCAGCAGTGTGTTTGTGTGTGTGTGTGTGTGTGTGTGTGTGTGTGTGTGTGTGTGTGTGTGTGTGTGTGTGTGTGTGTGTGTGTGTGTGTGTGTGTGTAAGAGAGAGAGAAAAAGGGAGTCAAGGGGAGTGGGTGGGAGGTCACAGTGAGGGAGAGAAAGTGTGGATGCAAACACACTCAGATACACAGCTATTAATAGTAAGCTAAAAGCTGCTAGGACGAAAAACTGCTTTGTACTTATTTGTTAATGTCACTGAGATTGAGATGAGCAAAATGCCAGAAGGCTGGAGATGGATGGGTACACTGTTGTTGTGCGTCTGTGGTTCTCGGGGACGTTTGTCTGCTTCCCTCTCTTTTCTGACATAGTTTACAGATCTTCATTTCATGCTTTGTGATTGCTGTGAGTAGTAATGGCTTTCTTTATGGTTCTGCTTCGATGAGATGTCAGGACGTGAGGAAGAGAATCGTCGGTGAACGAGAAACTGGAATGGGCAGAGGAGGAGAAAAAGAGGGAACAAAGGAGAAAAGAGAGAGTGAGAGGGACTCTAGCGGCTGTCACATTCTATATGAGCTCTGATGGAAAGGGCCCTTATGGAGTCAGGAGTGTTTCCTGTTTCAGAGGAGCACACAGGAGACCCTGTGTGTCTCTGTGTGTGTGTGTGTGTGTGTGTGTGTGTGTGTGTGTGTGTGTGTGTGTGTGTGTGTGTGTGTGTGTGTGTGTGTGTGTGAGTGCATGTGTGTGTTTGGTTGGAGAGCTCCTCATCACTGAGCCACTGCTCCCTAAGCCTCAACTCTCTCTTTACCCAGCATGCAGGGCTGAGAATAAAGTAAATAAACAGTGGAGGGTCGTGGGGCAGCCCTCTTTCACCCCAAAAACAAAACACTGCCCCCATCAAACACCGCCTCATAGCAGAACAAAGGCAAAGAGCATGTGCTGCAGACGCTAAGCTCTGAGACATATGAGGAGCAATATGTCATTTTTTGACTTCAAACCCAGACACCTCGATAGCCAAAACAACCGGTGATAGAAATGCTGCTCTCGGACTCATTTGAAAGAGATGATTCATTACTATCTTTTAAAGTTGTGTATTTGTGATGAGTTATTTTTATTCATGTGTACCCAATCTAAATGGGAAAACAAGAGCGGAAGCTGCACTTTGAAGGCTATATAGAAACCTATGACCTCAAGAAAACCATGAGAATAGGATTCTGCCTTTTTCCCAAATTGTTTGCTTTGAAAGTTTAAATTTAGAGAAGCAATTTACATGGAACAACAAATAGCAAAGCCTGGAAAGTAAACTCTTCATCGTATAAGCACACACAGTGTGACATGGGATGGAAAAGGACCTGCCAGTATGATTATAATATATGTTTGTGTATGTATTTATATATACATATGCAATAAATGTTTTAATGGGAATCCTAATTAAAGCAGGTTTAAGGGAATCTTTGTGTTCCAGTTTGATTTTGGGGTGGGCTCAGACTCCTGTGGGGGTCTCCAGGGAGAGCCCAGCCTGAAAAGGATGGATTGAGAAGCACTTAATTAAACTAACAATGTGGTATTTCTGAAGGAGAAAGGAACACTTAGGATGTGTCAATAGACATCCAGAGTGCAACTGTTGTGAGCCCCTACAGCCGAGCCCTGTCCGGCCACGCATAGCTTCAACAGCTGCACAGAGCAGTCAAATACTTGCCAAGCCTCATTGGACCTATTAAAAAAAAGAAACAATTATCTGTACATTGAGTTCTGCTCAATCTTCTCACTGCGGGTTCAAGATGGAGTGAAATCTATCCTCCGCTCGATGGCCATTTCCCCCTTTTATTCCTCCTTTTAATATTTATGCGTTTTGCTGATAAAATACACCGCTACTGCCACAGTCTGATGTCACTCACCCGTCCATATCTGTTGGCATAGGAACCCGTGAGCAAGGAATGGAAAACGATGATTGTTTCATCCAGGTCCCAGATGAACACTCGCTGGAGAATTGGGGGGGGGGGAGGAAGGAAGGGAGAGAAACAAAGAAAAACAGAGAGAAAAAGAGGCAAAATCAATGGTGCACTCTGTAGGGCTGCAAGGTGATCCTCCTGGTCAATAGGCCAGGAGCGTGTATTTGTGCGCCACAGGGACCAGGATCCATTTGCTTGGGTTGGTCACCGCAACACTCCTCCCATCACTCCACCGCACGCTTTCCATCTCCTGCCCTTTACATTAGAGTAATCAATAGTGACAAACTAATTAACTAGATATGTTAACATGCCGTGATGTCAGCGCAATAACGGGTGCTATTAACCTTGTTCAAATTCATATCATATTAATGAAGAGCCCTCTGAATTACCCAGAGATTATCTTGACATATGGTCACTATCAAAGTGTTTTATGGCCTCATGGTGCCATTGTTAGTCAACGCTAGTGTCCAGTATTTCATGACTAGAATATATATATTATTCACTTCATTGGTGACTAACTTAATCTCACGGCCTATGGTTTATTCACGAGGTATACGTGAGATCTTTATATAAGTTTAGTGAAGTCATATATTCCACACAAAGCATAAATAATGCATTTATAGTTAAGGAATCAAATATTAAAGCCAGTGTTAAAGCCAGTGTGGCAGCCATATAGTAAGTGGATTAGTGTCCACTGGCCTCAGACAGGGCGAGGCTGTCTGTCGCCAAGGTAGCAGGCTCACCCTACCTCAAGGTCAGAGTCAGGCGGCGGTGATGGGTTGTTGTTCCTTCTTCCCCGGCCACGTGACTTTCCATCCGAGGCTCGGCGCAATCGATCTGAATCTGAATCTTTAATGGGGGTTGATGGACTGTGGATGGTACTGTACTCTACTGAGAGGAAGCAAAGAAAGAAGAAGGAAAGTATAAAAAAAAAAAAGTGTATTGCACATGAGCTATTATTTGCTTTCAACAAGAAGTTTGAGTCACCATGTGTCTTGATGCAGAACAAAAGGCTTTCCAGGATGTTTAAGTGATTATGTAGGCTTACAGGTAACAAACATATTATACATTTAGTTGAAAAATAAAAACTAAAAGCTACTGTTGGTCACACTGATTTAATAAAAACAAGGTATGGGAGTGCAGGCCAACTATGAATAGCAAAAATGTCTTGATCTAAATGGATGACAGTATAAAATTACTGTTCGTTAAAGCTTGACGTCTTCTGTGATGCTTCATGACAGTTACAGTACAAATGCAGTCACAAGATTTTGACTCACCTTTAAAGATACGATCAGTACTGAATTGCCAAATGATGCATTAAAGTCTTGTATAACTAGGGTCAATTGTACATCTGATCTCATGTTTTCACATATTGTGCATCAGGGTTTTTACAATTAATGGTTTAGGGCTTTTATCTCTTGGTTTATCGGGAGCAACTTCAAGTGAATGTGTTGGCACGCTTGTTGATTTAAAAAAAAGAAAAAAGAAAGAAAGAAGAAACGCGTCTCTCAGCAAGATCAAACTCTTGATATTCAGGTTTCACAAGGCATCCCTGCTGCCTGATGTTTGATTCTTACCTGCGGGGTTCTCTGTGAGCGCCTGGCTGGTGATGCCAGTGGGTGGCTCCTGGAGAGTGTAGGTGGTAGTGGTGGAGGGCGTGCTGGGGCTGGTGTTGTTACTTGTCATGTAGGGTGAAGTGTAGGGTGAGCTGTTGTAATACTGAGCATACTGCCCCTGGCCAAAGGATGGATAACTGGGGTAGTCCTGTTGAGAAAGATGGAAACAAAAAGGGAAAAAGATAAGGCAAGTGGAGTAAAAGAAAAGATAAAGAAATGTAAAATGTGGTGTAAGGAAGGGGATTTAGATAAAGAAGGTGGATTAAAGAGAGACATAAGGTAGCGGAGTAGAAAAAAAAAAGAAGTAGGAGGTTTGCCAAAGTAATGTGAGATATGCCCTGCACCAGTGTAGCTACTTTACAGTGCAGATTCCAAAACATAAACGCAAACATATGTCTGTTCTGTCCTACATCTGGACAACGATCTGTCTTGTTTTTTTCTTCCTCTTCTTCTCCTTTTCCTCTGTGGCATAAGACATTTGTATTGGAGGAGGCACAGTAGTTAATCCTGCATACGAAGCTTTTGACATCCTGAGTGATTTATGTCTGAATATGTCACGGATGAAATGTATGCATAAATGTTGCATAAAGATTTCCAGGCCTGCAATTCAGACTTACATAAACGGATAGCTTCATACTGATAGCAGAGAGCAGAAATAAAAAAGAGCAGAAGGACATGCACAGATTACCTGCTGTGTGCTGTTGAAGCCGGTCGAGTTTGTCAGGGAGTTGTTTCCTGTGTACAATCCTGAAGTTGTTGTGAAAGTGCCACCTGTAGGTGAAAATGAAGACTTTTTGAGTCGTGTATTCACAATTTCATACCACAAAAACATCAGAACATCTCTTAGTCTTAAAGAAGTGCATTGACAGAAATGAGATGGACCTCTGTTCTGGGGAGAAAAAAAAAAGATTAGGTTTTTGTGAAACAACTATTTGAGGTGGTGAACAGATGGAGGCCTTAGGGAGCGCTCCGAACCTTATCTTTGTCCTCTTCTTTTCTTATCAGTGATTGGATCAGAGCTGATGAATGACGAGGGGTGGACTGAACCTACCTACCAGCCCTCACATTGTGAAGAAGACAAGAGACTGTTTCTGTGAGCTACTGGGGATTGTTTGTTTGTGTGTGTGTGTGTGTGTGTGTGTGTGTGTGTGTGTGTGTGTGTGTGTGTGTGTGTGTGTGTGTGTGTGTGTGTGTGTGTGTGTGTATTTGCTGCTGAGATCAAGCACCAATGAATATGTATGTGTCTCTTTTCACTTGCTTAAAGGATGGTTCTCCTCTATAATCAGATCATTCACAGGGGTTGATAGCATCTAATGGCTTAATAATACACATGACATGAGCTCTAGCAGCGGTGGCCCCCTGAGGGCACGATAAATCCACCTGCCCTGTTATGTTAGGCAGGAGAAGCAGCTATTAAAAGAACACTGACAGGCAGAAAGACAGGACTTAGAGCTAAAAAACAATTATTGTAGTGAAGGTAATTTATAGTTATGAGGAAAACTTTAATTAAATTATGACAAAATATAACATTTGTATATCAGGCCCTATTAATTAAAGTGATACAAATAAGCTTTTTTTTCTTCAGAAATGCAGGTGACCTTTTTGATTGAAACCACTCCTGCCTGCAGCCTAAACCATGTTTATGAAGGTTCATTAAAATGTCTTTAAAGCAGAAGCCTTGTATTTGTTGTAGATCTCAGCTTTGAGAAGGGACTAATGCTTTTTTTAATCTCTTAAAGCAAATGATGAATATTGAAAGGCAATATTTGATGGACAAAGAAAAAAAGACTATAATTGTTACATGATCATTCTATGATAATTTTCCTGTATGTGAAATATGTTCCTGTATAATCAAATAAATGACATGTATTCTCTATGGAATTATAAAAATGGAAACGCTTTTGGAAGGTGTTGACTTTCTACAGCTTCGTAGCAGTGACTTGAGTTTTAAAGATTTCATCACAAACAATCCATTTAAAAAAATTGCCCTGATTGATCACAGTTCAGATCAAACTAATACAAATATGACCCCTGGGCTTTATTAATCATTTTTGTTCATTGAAAGACAAATAATGTATCCATACATACATCAATAAGAGACTGTTATTAGCACCACCATTACATTCTTTAAAAGAGCTTCAGCACTCATCACTTCAGTGTTCTTCCAAAAGCCAGAGTGAAAACGAAGGGGGAGATACATTTACTGTTTCTAAATGGGGGCGTAATTACACCTTTGTTCCTATAGACAAACAGAGGGAGTTCCTTTCATCCTGTGGTCATTGGCCCCATCAGGAGAGCCCTCCCACACCGTGACAAACGTGAAGCAGCTTTCAGAACAGGGGGAAGGTTTAGGGAAGCCTGGGGGGGGGGGGGCATGAAGGGTACCGTATGGGAGAAAACAAAGCAAAAGAAACGACATGGCGCAGTGTTGAGCCTTGTCAGTTAGCTAGAAGAACCCAGAACTGTGGCTAAAAGAGAGAAACAAACACCTCCAAAGCCTCCATTATAACCAGGATCCGCTAATTATTTGTGCAGTTTCTCGCTCTTTGCAGATTTCATTTTGTTCTCCCGCCATGCCTCTACTGGTTATTTTCATCAGAACTGTTCGCACCCTCTCTTTGTTGTTTCATTTGATATTGCAAGACCTTGAGGGGGAATTCTCAAACTTTTCTGTTCTCCCGCAGAAAGTTCAACATCAAGTGAAAGACTTGCAGAACAATAAGACAGAGACCAGGAGGAGTACAACTGGAAAGGAAACAAATTAGCCTAATGCACAGTTCAAAAAGTCGTAAAAGCGCCCACTGGCAGGGCTGGAGGGTTGCTGAGTGGGGGACAAGGAGTCACATAAAAGCCAAGGGGACCCCTGCTAGCCCTGCGAGAATGAGCCCACGCTGTTGGGAGTGGTGGCGCTGGTTATATTCAAGGGGGAGAAAGAGGGGGTCCTGTGGTTCCCCCAGGGGGCATGTTTTCTCTCCCTCCCCCTGTCCTGCTCCAGTTAGTTCACTCACTCAAGAGCAGACACCATCCCTCCCCTCCTCTCCTCCTCCTTCCCTCCTGCCTTCTGGCTCCTCAATTGGAAGTCCATTTGCTTTGCTTGATCAGTCCCCTTGCCATGGGCTATGTCTATCATCAGTGCACAATATTTGTAGCAGAAGTTCGTATGCCCCACTTGGGAATAGGCTATCAAGTCCAGATGGGCTCTCCTTTAAAAGAAAAAAAAAGAAAGGCAACCAAGGCTTCGGCTTCTTCAGCTTTGCACTGCTGCTGAGACAGAACGCTGGAATCCAATTATTTACCTAATTAGCATCTGCTCTCTCCGACAATCAGAAAAAAAAACTCCCTTTCTTCACACACCTCTGATATTTAAGCTTTTCTTCTGAAAGTCCAAAAACTGACACAAGGGATTCCAGAAGTGAGGCGTGACAAAAATGGCTTTATGATACTGTGCCATGACTTTAGCACCCATATAAAGCTCCATGGCATCTGACTTGAAAGCAAGGCGCTAAAACATTAATCTAATCGTCCTCCGCTTTGACAGCTGGCCACAGGCTGGTGGCAGCGACACAAACAGAGACGGGGAGTATCAGATTTGAAAGAAAAAAAAAAAAAACGACGAATATTTGGTAGGGACACCCAGGCCTCAGGCACCTCACAAGCAGATCAATAGGCCATAGAGAGTAATGGTGATGGTGTGGCAGAGGGCCAGGGCCACAGTTGGAAAAACTCATGGGCCAGAATAGTGGTCAATCTGTCATCTGACGTGACTGTCAATTACTAACGCACTTAAAGCTCTGTGGGGCTTGAAATAAATAGAGATAGCAGGAGAGTGAAGGAGAGATAGAAAGAGACAGAGGGAAATAGAAAGAGCATAATACTTGGAAGATGAATGGGCACATAATACTGTCATCGTGAGTTAAACCACTAAGAGCAGGATAGCAGCTTCTGCATTCTGCCGCACATGCTCGCTCTCTCTTGTTCCCTTTTCTTCCCCTCTCTCTCCCATTTTCTCTCTCTCTCTCTCTCTCTCTCTCACTGTGCATCTCCTTTTTCAAGTGCATCGACAGCACGCTGCAAAACTTCGACTGCGGCCGACTATTTGCTTAAGAGGCGTGGAAAAGAGGCTTCCCCGCGACACATCTGCTGTTGAGCTGGCGTTATTTATTGTGAGATGCTCTGGAGGCTTTTCAGCAACATGTAGAGATGTTTCTACTGTCACACATTAGATATAGCAGGAGAGAACTAAAATACTATGCTAGCCATTATCTGGCTGTGCTTCTCAAGTGCAGGTGGAACATAGGCTTACAAATAGAAACATTAAAAGGCATAGGGCCCTCTAAATTTAAACCAACTGGAGAGGGGAAGCAAAAAAAAAAAAAAAAAGGGGGGGACAGGGTGCAACAACTCATCTTTATCGTTTCCAAGGCCGTAAATCTCGATGTTCTCAGCTCTTAAACAAATACAAATATGATCACAGGGAGAGAAAAACAAAGGCAGGGGAGTGGGAAGCGACATGGCTTGTGACTAAGTTTCCATCTGTGTTGATTCTTTTAAGAGGAGAGGAGAGCAGAGGAGAGGGAGGCAGCCGTGGTGGCTGAACATAACGACCGCCAAGATTTAGCCATCTTTCGGGGTGAGTGAGAGGGCCGTGTTGTGAATCAGTCTGACTCTGCATGCTATTAAATCAGGGACAGATACCCTTTTTTGTACCTTTTTTTTTTTTGAAGAGCCCAAGAACCCTTATTTGGATGGGCTTAGAAGAGGGAACACATGGCAGGAGAAAAAGGAGATAAGACAAAGAAGTGAAGAAGACGATGGAAAAAAGTGGTATTGGAAATATAATGTGAAGACCAGAAGACAGAAAAGATGGGTACTTTGACAATAAGATAAAGAGGACAGAAATAGGGACCAAACGGGGAAGAAAACCGGGGGGAAAAGGTTTTGTAAACCTAACACAATGTCAAACATTTCAGCTGTTCAGCATTTAAAGTTGTAAAATTGGACATTGCAGTCATCTTAAAGAGGTTGGTGGCATCTCGCACAGCTTCTTAACATCCTCTGAAGGGAGTTGTGAAGATGCACAGAGAAATACATTCATTAAAATGTCCTCACCCTGCATCTGGTAACTGTAGGGAGCCTGTCCCGTCTGCGGTGTGGTGAAGCCGGAGCTGTAGCCCAGGAAGCCCGTCTGTCCCGGGGATTGGGACTGGCTCAGACCCCCTTCTGTCTTTATGCCTGCCCACAATGGACCTAAATCAGTTAGTGACACCAGATCGGTTTGATGCACAGACAACAGTCAACACAGGTTTAAATTACACTGCACACAGCAAAGGGATACAGCATCTGTCTGTTAGCATAACACAGTATTCGCAATGCAGGAGCACTGATTATCTGATCAAAGAGTGAACTACTGTATCATCAGCTTACTATTATCTCACTGCAGAGGACTTGTCTACTTGTAAGAAGCATGATTGTTTGATTTGATGTAATCATTCATTAGCGTTATCAAAATTACCATCTCAGATATGTCATTTTTGAAAAGACGCACAAATAATTAAACATTCTGCTTTTGTTTGTGAGTTGAAGTTGCCACTGCTTAATTCAATCAGTCACGATGCAGCATCTATGCAGTGGTAGGTTGCAGGACTCCATTCAAATAAACAGAGTAAATTCCTCCACATATTGGAGAGTCTTTCGGGGTCAAAACACTCTAAAGACTTTGGACAAATAAAGCCTTCAGTGAGTCATGTACTCTGTGCTTTCTCTTGCAATGCCAAAGGAAAGCAGGTTTTGTTTTCAGATTTTTATCACTAATCTTTAGGATCTATCTGAACAGCTTGACAAGCAGATTCTGTTTTATTGCAATGAAGGAGAATGTGCACGCTCTCAACAGAAACTCCACGTCTCTGCTGCTCCTGCTTTACTGGAGGAATTTTACTATATGGAAGGTGATCAAAAATAGGGAAATATACTCAGGCTGTTTTCTCTCCCTTTGCATGCATACAATGTAAAAAGTGTTAACAATATGACCTGCATATTTAAGTGAGACAAGGAAGGTTATGATGTGCCTTATGGAAATCTTACCATAGGCCGGGATGCCGTACGGCTGGCCAGGCTGGGGGTAGCTAGCATAAGCTGCGGCCTGCTGCATTCCTGTGGTGTACTGCGTCTGCCCATATGCAGCCATATTTTGGGATGAAGGGGTAGGAAGAATATGCGGATATGTTCTGCTATTTGAGAAAAGAAACAAAAGACAAAAAGTGAGTAAGGAAGGCAGGAAGAAAGGGGACCACGTTGTAACCCTACAACCAAAACACAAACTTTGCTTACTGACAAATTCCTTGTGATTGTGCTCCTTCATTTTAAACACTGAGCCAAGCTGTAAGGCAGATAGCATCGCACAGCACATACACATAGTGAAAGAATAATAAATTGCAAAGGAAATTTTTGCGAGATAATAATTACAACAGATTTAAGAGTGCGCAAGCTGCAGACATCCTGGCAAACAAAGCCGTCCGAAAACCCCCCGATCTAGCAGAAGGATCTAATTAAAGATCCAAATGAAGTTGGATGCTGCTTATTTTTTTAAAGAAAAATAAAAGAAGCCTTACTTGGAAGGGTAAATCTGCGGAGAGAACTGGTGAGTTTGTCTTGGGCTGAAGCCACTGGTTCCAATAGCTGAGGAAAGTCAAAAAGAAAAGAGGCAAGCACATATTTAAACATTAAGAAATAAGGTAAATATTATGGTTTGCCAATAGAACTTCTGGATTCCAAGGAAATAGTAATTACATTGCATTACTCTATTTATTTCACTAACCTCATTTAAGGTTGAAAACTGGAGAGCAATAATGAAGTCAAATAATCAGGTAAGAACATCAGGTTTTTCTGCTGATCTACGTATCTCTGAGATATGTCTGGGCTGCTATGACGACCGCTGGTGTAAACACACACAGGATGGTCGGAATCAGCCCTGGCCTGTAGCTTTTGTTGCCTCAGACCTTTAAACCCACACCCACATTAGAAGTGACATCACTGATTGCAGCTAATGAATGCTACTGCATAATCATTCCTTCATTAAGTGTACAACTCTGCGGTTCCACGGTGCTGTTAACTCAAAAAATACGTCTGATTTGAATCTGCAGTTAGAGCTAATATTGTTTTTTTTTTATTATGCCTAAAAAAAACTCTTGTTAATAGCAAAATGTGAATTTATATTAGAGTTGTTGTTCAGGTTACATACCGGTTTCTATTTCCAAAATGTGATACATGTTAGAACAAAAAATTCAATTAGATCCACAAAAAATGCCCAACGATACAACTGTACTTAAATTGTTTTTTTATTATTTTATAAATAATTATAGAAAGAGAAATGATTATTTATTGCAAAATTAAATATACAGTTGGAATAAAAAGAACAGATTTACGTATAAATTCATGAATCCATTTTTGCTATTTCACTTAAAAATTGGAAGAATTGAGGAAATAATTGAGGTCTGAATTTCTGCGCATTACTCCCATTTAACTGCAGCAAAGCGGAGTGGCACAGTCTTGAAACATCTGTCTAATTGGTCGTGACATGTAAAAGAAGGGATTTGGTTGCGGGGGAGCGCTAACTGCATGTAACTGTACGCTGTAACCCCTCACACACGTTATTAATATTGAACACTTTTCCCACATCAGCAGCACCTGCCGCTGGACAAAACCTGCTCTTCTGAGCGGAGCTTTGGGTTTCCCCGAGGAGGATATGGGGTGTAAGATTACCAAATTTCATTAATATTGTCAGAGACAAAAGTCGTGGCTGTGATTTTTCTGCTTCTTGCGTAAAGTATCAAATACTTAGTTAAACAGTTAAGGAAATACAGGAAAATTAGCAGGAAGATAAAACCATGCACAGTTAGATGTGGTACTATTAATACATGTTACAGAAAATATAACTGAGTCCTGCAGAGTGACATAGATATCTGTGAGGACGGAAAAAAGGCAATGAGCTAAAAAATTATCACATTAGAGACTATTTCTTTAACAATTCCTACAATGCTCATTATACTCAGAGGTCCTGGTTTTATTTAGCAATGCCTCTGTATATGTGTCAGTGCATGTGTGTGTGTGTGTGTGTGTGTGTGTGTGTGTGTGTGTGTGTGATGTTCTCCTCGCTGAGAGCAGGGTGTGAAAATCCTGGCTCTGACAGGGCGATAGGGTAACAGCCCGTGGAGAGCGGAGGCCACTGGGACGCCATGTCACTCCAGTGGACAGACAGCCTCAGTGCATTATAGGTCATAATTCAGCCCTCACTGGCATGGGAACCAGCAGGGCTAACACACACACAAAGATGTGGAAGCAAGCACAGCATATAAATATGCTGACAAAGGTAAGGTAAGAGGTGCATGTACTTTAACACTCACAGACATTGACACACACACACACACACACACACACACACTGTGTTTTAGCTGCAGGGACACTTCCTGGGGCCTCGGCTTATCAGTCACCCACCTGTAGGCTCATCTCTCACTAATCAGTTCTGCTGCTCTGTCTGTGTGTGTGTGTGTGTGTGTGTGTGTGTGTGTGCAACACATGCCACTTCTCCCTCCTCCAACCTCACAACCGTACCTGATCCTGAGAAGCTGTCTAGAGAGGTGTCTGCTATCGAGGTGGCGATTTCGCTGCTGCTCATTGGCTCACTTTTAACTGCAAACAAAGAAGCCACAGTGTCACCAAAAGCACCAAATCAAGTCTGGAAGAAAAGGAAAATAAATCCGATTAAAGTCCCACTGTCAGAGATTTTCACATTGAACAAATAATGTTTTGACAATACAGCAAAACGTTTTTCAGGTAAATCAATACCAGGCAGGAGGAAAAAGTCAAACAACATTTCAGGCTCATATAAAATAATGCCAGAGTATGAAAATGAATTATATCTGACATGAAATGTTACATCTAACCAATTTTAAATGCCTATAAATATGAATTATAATTTATTTTTTTAATCGGGATTTGCATTTAAAAATGTGCTTAGCTGCTTCCTTAGCTTGGAAATGTGTTTTAAAAAGAACGTTTTACTATTTTACAGAATGAAAAATCAAACTTTAATTTGACATTTCTTTCTACTTATTTAGAAATACTGCCTCCTTACAAAATGATTTAACTGTCATGATAAATGACCGTCTTTCTGTACTGTAATGTAGCATGAATCGCCAATAAAAAATCGCTCCACAGGGAGCTAAAAGTACAATTGAAATGTCAAGGTAACGTATGGTGTATAAACTCTTTTTAAGAGTGTAGCGAACGCTGTGTGACCCGGGCTCCCTCGAACAGATCAGCGTTAGATCTGTAAAGACAATTTCACAGCTTTGTGACAGCTCAGGAATCTTTGAAATCAATCCATTTCTCTTCAGGCTGGCGGGAGGATTTTTTTTTTTTTCCCTCCTTTTTTTGGCAAAACAAATTGACAATGTGGGCAAGGGAGTCATGCTCAGTGGAATCCCTCATGGCTGAAGAAGCCGTTTGCTGTCATGTTTTACATGTTTCAGCTATGCTTGTTCAGTGCAGAAACACGTGTTGACAAAGGGGCAATTCTTTGCAACAGCAATGCGAGATAAAGGAAAGTGGTAAGGTGCATGCATACACTAGCACACACTCAGGCCACAGAGCACAAAAATATCCACGATGTTCAGGGAACAGCAAGGAACTTCAAATTAAAATTAAATGTATCATACGAGGATGCCATCGCGACCATTCATTAACGATGGACTCAAATCAACTGTGTGTAAAACCATGCTCCAAACAAACACAACAACAATAACAGCAAATACCAGAGTTTCTGAATGAAAGGCACAATAGTTGAGGCAACTTTAGGATTTTGTAGTAGGAATTTTTTTAGGACTTTGGTTCAAAGTTACTCATTGGAACTTTGGTTTAAGATGGTAGACTCTTTTGATTAAGTGGGAGAAACACCAAGTATTGTCCTTTCATTGTGTTACTAAGAATAGACAAACCTGCAGAGGACTGTGAGTTAGAACCTAACAACCAGTCTGCAGTGGTAAGCATTGTGATGCTATCACCTACGGGACAGAAAGAGTTGCAGAGGGACACATGACAGTTTGCACTGTGTCGGGTCCTGTCTCATGAAAACACACATACTAATGAAAATAAAACCTGAGGTCAAAGCACAGAGTAAACTGAAGATTACATGACCGGGGGTGGGTGGGGTGGGGCTTCACTAGACAAAGGCTCAGATTTAAGCACAGGTGAATCACCTGAGTAAATAACTATGTACAGTAGAGACCTTATGCAAAGCTCTGTCATTTCCATTCTGTTGGCTTTGAATAATTACATGGTTACTTAAATAAACAGCTACTAGACAGAGGACAACAACTACTAGTAGCACTGAATTGAAAATAATCTACGCCTCAAACCAGATACACAAACTGCATCTATTGGCTGATTAAGACTATATTTATAATTGAGGGGAACAACACTCTGATCAGATAGTATCACTAATATCACAATTCTCAGCCCCCTTTATCTGAAATGTAGAATTGGACACACTACACAAAGCAAATAAGCATCACACACATACCTTCAGTGCCATTGGGTGTCATGGAATTGTTATTGATGTGGGAGTTGTCGAGGTTGGGACCATTAGGAGATTCACTGCTTCCACTTACTCGGCTGTGAGGACTGGCTAGATCCTGCATTTCCATAGACCTATCGACACACACACACACACCAAATCAAATTACACATATCACTCTGGTTTCACGGAAGACACGGAGCACTGATTCACAATGCAGTGCACACAACGTATAGATCAAGTTAAATCAAATGATAATAATAACACAAAGTAAGAATCATATAAATATGTGTTAATATATAAATAAGTCACCCAGGAAAAAAAAATGTCAATTTAATTATATTAAATATCTATAATTCACTGCGATAAATAAATAAAAATAATGACATTTTTATATGAAAATGATGAATACAATACAAAATTTCACACACACACACACACACACACACACACTCACACACACACTATGTACAAAGAAAACAGCAGAACTTCAGGCAAAGGAAAAGTAAACATTTCGACATGACAATTCCTGATTTCTCTCATCACAAAAATCACACAAAGTGTTTACTGTCAATTGACTGTGTTGGATGTAAAAGTGAAAATTGCCCTGAGTGTATATATATCTTTTTGTGTGGTATCGAAGACTGTTAACAGATGTTTGCTGGTTTGAGGCTATGCTTAATGTGCCTGTTAAAAGTGCAGCTCTCTGCCTGATTGTACGAGCCCATGCCTCAGTGAGGGGCAGATGAGAAGCTCATGAGGCGTGTGTTTGCTCTGGCAAACTCCTTAATTGTTTCTGTGTTTATACAAAAGACCACGCCACTAAAAACATTATTCCATCTTCTCTTTTGTGCGCTCAAAGGATTTGATCAAGTATAGACAGTGGGGTGTAAAGAAGGCACAAGTGATTGGAAAACCACGTCCACTAACTCTGGACCCCATTTGTCTCTGCCACTATGCAATAGCGAGTTAATGAAATTAGGACAAAATGTTTTGTACATTATACTGTCATTTCCAATTATATCCCAGGGTTCTGGATATCTGTGCTATCGACACACATCAGCCTTTACACAAGGCCACAAAGATAAATGCTCAAGAAACTCTGAGCAGTCTGAGTGCTATCAGATGGCACGAAGAAACCAGAATTATGAGATAAAAAGATTCAATTATGATATGCATTTACTCTATTTAATATGTTATTCCACTGTTATGATATTATGATACTTTGCAGTATAGATTGGCAGATATAGCTCTTTCTTGTGGTTTAAGTCCAATTTGATTATTAACAGAAAGAAAATGTGCTTTTAAAAACAAAACAAAAAACTAAAATATGAGTCGTAAAATAAATCTGTGTTAACTATAAAACTTATAACAAAGAGCTAAGTCACTTTTAGTGACACATACATAATGGAAGCTTCATTGTTCTTTTCCCAGAAGTATATTAATTTACTTCACCACTAAAAATAACCCACCAAGCATACAACAGCAGAGTTACTGTTCAAGCACATTGAGGACTGTGCAGAAAAAAAAATTCTATTTCCACATTTCACACTCACTACTTAATCCTGTTTCCTCCTCTTTTGCCCAAACTTTATTCTCATTAGCAGTTGGCTAAAAAGCCTTCACTGACAACACAGTAGGCTTAAATAACGTGTCAGCTGTTAAGCAGAGTGTCTGAGTGAAATCTCTGATGCCCTGCAGAGCGCTACAAGTCTCTGATGCTCCTGGCACTGGCTCAACATTGCTCTTACCTGCACCTAGAAGGATTTGCGTCCTCACAAACCACACTCCACCTCTCTGTACTCTGCCTCCACCTGCCCCAGCAGAAACAATGTCACTCCTTGTTATTGCAGCTCGATGTCACAGTCCAGAGCCATCCATGACACAAAAAGGCTTGTCTGAGAAAACATTATTATTATTCTGGAGCAGAATGGGAAGAGAGGGCTTGCGGGGGGAACAGAGGCGCACATTGTCTCCACTCTCCGAGCCGCAGCCACTACTCTGCTGTTGTTTCCTCCTTCAGGTCCTCCCTCCTCCTCCCTGAGCGAGGGGAGCACAGCCAAATGACGGAAAGGTGATTCATCATTGGTCTACGACAGCTGCAAACTGGATTAGCCCTCCCCCAATCAACATGCAAAGAGGCTTAGCCAAGGTAAGCAGGAAGGGGCGGGTGGGGTGTGCGGGGGTGAAGGTAGGCAGAGAGGGGTGAGGGGTTGGGGGAGAGCTTTGCTGCTTGAGGTAGCCTGCTGCTGGAAGGGAAGATGGGACTTGTTGAGCAGAGGCAAGCCAAGCGTGACACCCCCAGCATCTTCAGCAGATCTTTCATCTGCAATTGACACTATCTGAAATTTATCAGCACTCCCCCCTCCCCGCATACTGACAGCTCCTAATGACCGTCAGGGCTGCTTCCCGCGGGCCTGCCCCAGCCTGGGGCCATGGCACAGAAACACACAACTTCCCAACTGCACGGTGGACACAAAGGCACAAAGAGAACAATATATACACTCTCACACAGACATTATATAAATCTTTTCTCTCTCTGTGGCTTCTGTCTTTTTCTTTTTTATTCTCTTTTCTTAAACACATAACTCATGTCCGTATGTCTCTGCACACACACTTACACACAGGGCACTTCAGAGGCCCCCAGATCAGTGGTGCAAATGCACGCAAACACACACACACATAGACAAAGTCACACACGCAGGGCACTTTAGAGGCCCCCAGATCAGTGGTGCATCTCAGACAATGAACGAGACTGGAAACAAGAACACGGAGAGCATATGGAGCCACATATGTTTCCTATGACGCTGTGAATGCCTCTATTACTCTCCTTTAGCTGACAGTTACATTTCGCTGTCCACTCCCGCTCTGCTCTTCTCTCTGCAAACATCAAGCAGAGCCATATACATGCACGGCTAGAACACTATATTAGCCCTGACTCAGGCCCACCGTGGGGATACAGGGTCCAAAAAAAGGTCAAAGGTATTCAACTGGTCAGGAAAAATGAAATATATATTTATATAAAGTTTTTTTTTTCCTGGCATAATTTTTAATGGCTGACTGTTTACATGAGCCAGGGTAACCTGAGCTGCATGGTCTTACGTTTTTTTTTTTCTTTTTTTCAACAGGCTTTGCTCTTCACACCAAGGGAAAGCCTTCATGAATACCATTCTAGCTGTGCATGCTGCCTACTAAATGCTTATGGAAAAGGTTTCCCTTGAAAAAACATTATGTTTCATTCTCACTTTGGAAGCTACAGGCAACAGCAGCGTCTCCTTGCATTTCCAACGCTAAAAAATGCAGGGGATGTCAAAAAAAAAGAAAAGAAAGAAAGACAAAAATATCAATGGAAAAGAAAGGCCACAGAGGTAAAAAGCCATAGACGAAAGAGAAACACATTCTGCCACAGCACATTAACAGCGATCACAGAGCTGTGGAGAGAGTGTGTTGTGGTGGAGTGATGTGGTATAATGTGTGTGAGTGTGTGTGTGTGGTGGCTGGTTGGTTGGTTGGTTTCTCTGTTTAGCAGTGAAGGCCAATGCAGCCATTATCATGCTGGTGTTTGAGCCATCGCCAGCAGGTGAAACCAGCCAGGTGAAAAGAGGGGGGGGGGGGAGAGAGAGAAGGGAGGGGACAGGGATTTAAAAGCAAAATCAAGCCTTTCTTCTGCGCCGCTAAATATTTATTGTTTAAAGGAAGAAAAGGGGTCCGCATTCACATTCATCTTTGATGTGCATCTTAGTTCAACCTGAACAGGTCTTTGAAGCTAACAAGAACAAAGCCGGGCTAGATGAAGCGCTGCAAGTGTCATCAAGAGGGGAGGAAAAAGAAATGCCACAACACGTTTCTCTCACGGTTGTTTGCTGGCCCCTTGTTTCGCTTAACTTATTCCAAGACCTGCGTTTCCAAAGGTAAACAAAGCCCCAGCCGAGCTTTTAGTAAAGATCAAGTCAGCATGCAGGCTGTCTGACCCGGCACAAATCTCTTCTTCACCTTTGGAATATAGATATTTTTACTTTTCAGCCCAGAGTTATAATTTTTTATATTTTAAAGTTTATGTTTAAACTAAAATAAACATACTAAAGAGGAGGGGGGGGGTGATGTGTGAATATGCTTTTTTTTTCGTCCTCCATGCCCTGTGTCATCCTTCATATAGGTAATAATTTTACAGGATCACAGCCTCCACTCCTTTGAATTTTTCAGTCTAAGTAAGCCATGTGTTGTGAGTTACAACTTTTAAAAAACAATGCTTTAATCAAAATCTAACTTTAAAACAACTAATCCCCACTTAAGCTGGTCAGCTGAATCCACATGGTGGCCCAGGAAAAATAAATCCACTCTCAAAGAATGTAGATGGAGACAACAATTGGACACAGATGTGAGTGGATTTAGGCACAGTTTACAAAATGCTACACTTCACTTGTGTCTCAATACGTGGCTAAGAAAATGACGGCTGCCAACGAACGCAACATTGAACAGCTTTGTGTTTTTTTATTGTTTGGATAAGGTAATTAAAAAAAAAAAAAAAATTAAAACTTCATTGGGTTACTTTTAAAAATACAAAGTCACTTTAAACATATAAAAATAAATAAAAAACATGTATATCCAAAATGTTCTGTTCAAATTAAAAAAAACAATCAATTTAAATTGCATCCTGTGAATACTTATTCATACAGATGCACTGCACTAGTTTATGAAATAAAACTTGTGGCGACAAGTTATCAAAGCACACGGTGCTTCACAAACAATTTAAAATATTCAACTTGTCTGTAATTAAAAGCACAATTATTAACAAATGTCCTGTTTGTCGATGTGTAATTTGTCCCTCTTATTGGGTTCAATCTGACATGGTGCTCCAGCAATTCTCTCAATAGCTACATTAAATCTGTTAATACTGTGCTCTTCAACCCTCCAAATTATTTCCAGAAGGCCGGTTCACCTTTGAGGGGCCATCAAACAAGATTTAAGGTGCACATTTTATCACAACCTGCCTACCACCGTGAACACCGCAGACCGAGAGGGGCTTTACACACAAAAGATAAAATACAGCCCAGTAACAAATCTTGACGATTAAATCACCTTAATGCTCGGGGCATGTTATTTTAATTCTCACTAATCAGAGAAAGTGATCTATCATGTTTATAAAATTATTATCTCAACAGGATAGGAAGCTGATGAAATTCTAACATGCAAAAGACGCAGTTTTTTTAAAGGCAAAAAATGAAATGTAAATCATCAGTTGGGCAGTTTTCTTTAAGCACATTTGCAGGGCATGACATTTTGATCAAATCTATTTTCAGACTTCTAACTCTGTGGGTTTTCTGATTATCTTGCGCATGTAAACATCATTCCATTTACAAACAAACACACAAGAGAGTATTAGTGATTGAGGCTTTGTAATGACAATCAACAGAAATCTCTAAAGCTCATTTCCTGCTCTTTCAGCCACATATTCCAGATCCAAACAGTGGTGTGTTAACAAAATAAGAGCCCATAGTATTTAGTAAACACCCCCTGCCCACTAATCACCCAGTTAGAGCTACTTAATAAGAGGTCCCCTATTTCCGTCTTCTTTCTCTCGCGCTCTCTCCCTCGCCCCCTCTGCTTCTTCCTCGCTGGATCAATTAGCCCTCTGTGTCTTTCACCGTTTTCAATCTCCTCTCTGAGAGAAGAGGACGAGGGCTCAGCCCCGGCTAGACACATCAATACGGAAGACATCAGGCCTTTGGGCAAACAATGCCACCGTCACCGCCAACCACTCCTGCTTGCACACACTGCAGCTACACATGCATGGAGAGATCCTGATCTCTGCCTGCACAAAGCAAATACACAGAGTAAACAGCCCCCCAAATCAGCCGCCTCATTATCTGTTAATTGGATAAATAAGGTTATTGTGTGAGTGAATGGCTGCTGCAGGCAGTCACACACACTGTCATGTTTGTCTACATGGAGCGGAGGCCATTCTGCAAGCAGTCTGGCTTTCTATTTCCTCTCTTTTATCTACAAACACACCTTTTTAAACAGCCAAAAAGGGCAGCAGTTTTTGAAATTATAGGAATTAGTGGAAAAAAGTAAATAGAAAAAAAACCCAATTTAAAGAGATGAAAAGTGTTTTACACACACATAATAATTCCCTGACTTGAGATGTAAGCCTGCGATCATACACACAACATTAAACCAGAACATCCTTCAATTAGAGGCTGGTGATTACAGCCGCTGAGTCATCTTTACTACACGCTGGATACGGGCGAGCGGAGACGCAGCACGGCCGGGAGTCCAGGCCTGTTGTCTCTGAGAGACGCTGAGAAGCTCTCAGGTCTCCCTTCAGCATTCCTGGCCTCAGCAGATGGCATTACATGTCAACTGCTTTAACTGTGTTAGTTTTGTTTGTTCCGCCAGTCCAAAAAAAAAGAGACTCCTGCAGGGACCGATGTGTTTGATCCGAAATGTAAACGAGGCCGAGCAGAAGAGGATCACATGTTTCAGAGGGGAAATCTGAATACATACGTAACTAGCAAACTACTAAATTACAATTCTTTAAATGTTAATTCAAATCTTTTGAATTTGTTTTGATAAAAAAGGTTGGGATAACCAAGGTTATATATTTTTTTAAATAGAGATTAAAGGAGACAATTTACTTAAATGTCTATCATATTTACAGAGCAAATTGAGTGCAAAATATCTCAAATTGCTGCCTGTTCTAAATGTAATATTAAAACACATTATAGTTAGATTTGATTATCATTAAATGTATTGTGCCAGACTATCAGTGTTATTTAAATAGTATCATATTTTATTTTGAAATGTACTTCTTTATGAGATTTGTAATTTTTTTAAGTAAAATAAAAAAATACTTTTTTTTAATGTATGTTGTGTATTAAATCTGAAATGTAAACATTGAAGCCTCTCTCATATTACCATTAATTTAACATTCTCATTAGCTCTACAGTTGGACATTTTTCACAATAATTCAGATTTAGTAGGATTCTGTCGTGTACGATGACAGTTAATGATAAGATTAGTGACAAAATGTAATAATAATAATGTAATAATTACTTGAGAATTAAATGTTGAATTAAATGTCCATACAAATGAGTGTAATGTTTGAGATGATTCTTCACACAGTGAAACACTAAAAACAGACAATGGGAAAAGACAGCACTTAAAGGAACATGTCAGACATAAGGCGGAAATTAAAATGATACTCACTACAATTATGGTTGAATCCCTGTGTGTTTATCCCTTCTTAGATCTTCTTTAAAAAAAAAAAAATCATCTACAGGAAGGTTATCAGTCCAGCAGAACGGACAGCAAACTTTCTAAAAGAGCTCTTCAGGTGTTGGTAGAATCAGTAGCACAATAAATGTAAACTACAAGACTACTTTTTTCTTTTTCATTTTAGGTGTTGGAACCCATGGAGCCCCACGCGCTATCTCAGGAGACCCAGTCCTAGTGAGAAAGAGAGTTGTCCGATTACTGCTTCAGGCAGTGACTAGTGAGTGTCTGAGGAAGAGGGAAAAAAAGAGAGAGAGAGAGAGAGTGAGAGAGTGAGGGAGAGGGAGGGAGGGAGTGAACGAGGGAGGGAGAGGGAGGCTGCTGCTGCTGCTGCTGCCGTTTGAAAAAGCAGAAAAGTTGCTCGGCGCTCTCTCACAGGAAGACTTTGGGTCTGGAGGAGGCACAGGGGAGTTGTGCCTCACACCAGCTCCCCATATGTCATTCACTCACAGCTTAAAGCAATAGAGCCCTCTCCAGATTGTATCAGTGGAGACTTAAGACAATGAAACGGCAGATCTCCACTGGCCTGTCTGTCCACTGGAACACACGGCTCCGCTCACACACCCCAAGGGCCCACACTTTTCTTCATCCCCCCCTTTTGTTTTTGTTATTCTCTTTTTTTCCACCACAAACCACATTTTTTCGTGTAAGTCGTAGGCTGCTGCTGGATTTCTCTTTCTCAGAGAGGGACTTCAGAGAGGGACTTCAGAGCGTAAACAACAGCTTAGGTCATCAGCTTAGGTGACGAGAAACCGGAGGTCTAGCAGCGGCCGAGCGGCTCGACTCTGTCCGTCTCCGCGGCAGACTAGTGGAAGTCCTCCGTCAACACATACACGCCGCGTCTGTGTGCGAGGTAATGACTGCCTTCTGTCTGCTCCAGGTTATTATTTCAACTGTGCGAAGCTGCCGCACAAGGCCACGCTGCTACTGATGAGCTCAAACTGGTGATTTATTCAAGCTGGTGATGAAGCTTTGCAGCTTTTTGCTCCAATATGTCATGCTGTTTTTTTACCCAAGAATATCAATCAGAGTAATGGATGGTTGAGAGGTCAATGGAGCATTTTAAATTTGTTTGATTTCCACATAATAAAACTGAGGGTGAAATAACAACTGCTATACTGAAAAATGATTACCCAGATAGAGGAAATCATACATTTACGACAGTAAAGAGGTGGTGAGAGAAGAAGAACACCCACGGCTAGAAGAATATATAGTTTACTGTGTTAGCAGTTGGCGCATGTATGCACTGCTTGTCTCCTCTGTAACTTTATAGTCAGTATGTGATGAAAAGAATTTAAAAAAAAAACGAGGATGTGTGTCACTAAAAGAGCTTATTCATTGAATTTTATGGGATGAAAAATAACCCCCAAAAAAAGGCAAACGTCGTCTTGATCAGCTGCAGAGTTCACCACTTAAACTGAAAGCAGGTCAACACCATGCAGCCTCTGTAGCAGCAGTCAACAAGGAGCTGACAGAAATAGATCCGAGCTGCAGTGCTCCTGATTTAAATACACCGCAGTAATGATGTGGACGTGCTGAAAATGCAAGTGCGACCTCCTCTTCTGCCCACAGGTAAATCCATATTTGCTCACGTTTCAGTATCCTGGCATGAAATAAACTGCACATTGAACAGGCTCTTGATAACTCGACTGACTAATTGAAGCTTGGGGACTCTCAGGTGAATATTTCTAATAGCAGAGGAGGGTACACATGCCAGTCGAGCTCGTCCTTTTACTCCGCTGCTCGCTTTTCAATAAGCAGCTGTATAAAATTAGCCTGAGATGTAATTTTGCAAGTGAGTTATTTTCAAATTGCACAGTATAATTATCCAGAGTTGTTTATGTCTCAACGACTAAACTCAGATTTTCCTGCAGTGCTCTCCTGCATGCAGAGCTCCACGGTATGTTTTGAATCAAGGCTCCAATCAGGCTGGCGGTATCTGAGGATGTTCACTCCTGACTATTTTCATGTTATACAGTATATTCTTAAGGTGTAAAAATGCAAATGATCTGTGCAGAAAAGGAAGAATATGATGTTCAGTTGTGACTATTTTCATGTTATACAGTATCAAGTTAAGGTTTAAAATGCAAATTATGTCGGGCAGAAAAGGAAAATTAAGATGTTGAGGTTTTTTAGCTGTTTTTTAACCGTTTTATATGAAAAAAGTGCAAATTTAAAAAGGCACAAAGAAATTTTGTACATATAAAACCTCGTTAGTTGCATACATTAGAACAGTTTAATCATCTTTCCTGCAGCTATAAAAACTGTGTACTTAACAGAACCTTCTTCATGTGCCAAATGGAGGCTTAACAAAAGATGCACTGATACCGTTCGACTGACATCAGCGCTAAAACGCCACTTGCCAAAAACTATATCAAGTAAGAAATTTGAGAAGTGGGCTAAGATTAAATGTGAAGCCGTTCTTTATTAAGGATTATCTTGATGGGACTCAATGGTCTTCATGTGGGGTTTCAGAGATGCCTGCTTGCAATTTAGAGTGAAGAGAGATCTGCACTGTCCTCCACTGCCAACAGGTTATCCACTCGGCTTCACACACACATGAAAATAGACTCACTTCCAAATGTCTGATTCCTTTTTGCAGATAAGGATTGGAGAGTTAATGTACATCTAACTGCAATCCTAGTACTTGGAAAGATTTAAAACCCTCTATATTTTTGTATTTTATTTTTTCTGATGTTCCACAAGTGAGTTTACTTATCTTGACATAGAAAACGTAAACAGTGTGAAAGGTGCAGGAACGCCGTGACAAGGGATCAAATGATACAGATGAAACAAAACGCTAACACCCCCAGTGACACAGTTGCAATATTTTCATATGCATATGCTGCAAATTTGTTTGGTTAGAACCACTACAGTGTTTATACAATGTCACACATCGGGGGGATCATGTTCCTTTTCTGACAGAAGTCTCAACAGAGCGTTACACTCTGAACCTTCCCCCAAGAAGGGAAATCTGAACGTGGGATAACTCTGGATAAAATAACAGTTTTTATATATTTACACAGGCATTACCAGGTGAAGTGTTCACCTATTGACTAAGGGGGAAAAAAACAACAAAAAAAACTTAACTACACAAAACTCCCACATTTCAGCCTTGCCCCTGACACAAGTGGCACATTAAAGTGTGCAGGATGGCAATTTGTCAAAGAGCTCTGTGAGCGCTATGTTCTAGTTATTCCTCAATGATTCATGTGCACAGTTTCCCTGTGAAAGTTGACTGAGTGACATATCTCAACCAAGGGAAATTCAAGATTAATTCAGGACTATTCCAGTCCTCTTCTGATCCTGCTGCTTGTGTTTTTCATGAGAACCCAAAAGCACAACAACCAACATCCTGTCAGGGCCCCCCAAAAAACCTTACCTTGAGTTTAAGATGCCTTTCTTCATGTAGTATATTCAACACAAAATAACACTAACCCATTTATCTGCCATGCTTTCATCAAACTCTCAGGAGAAACTTTGATGATGACACGTTTTCACCACAATAAAGATTTTGAAAGTGCAGACAGATAATTTTGAAGTCCCTCAAGGTAAATTAGAAGCAAGTCAAGTGCTTTCAAGTGGTGAATGAAAGTTAACAGTGAAGCCCGGATTCCTTATAAACAAACATCAGGTCGGCCTGCCTCGCTGAGGAGCAGTGATGAAAGTAAACACAGCATACCTCAACATGAAAATGCTTCAGAGCTTTCCTCCACCAAAAGAGGAACAAAGGAAATGGTAAACCTCAGCGGACGTCACAGACTTAAATTCATGTTGTAGTCAAACATAACAAGAAGAACATGATTTAAATATCCATTGAAGAACACTGTAAGGCAACTTTTTAGAAATAATTTCAAAAGTCATCTCTAAATGCTGTGTTTCCTTGCTTAAAAATTCTATAGTATTATGTTGGAGAGGGATCCATGGGTACATTTATCCATGCACCATCAGAGACAAGTTGTATTTTATGACCGGTGAGGCACACCTGGAGAAAGTCTACGAGGACCCCGAAAAAATCCTCAGACAGACACTTTATTGCTCTCCAATGGCCCCAAAAAAAGGCAAACAAGCACACTTTAGAGACCTATTACTCAGAATGAGACATCACTGAGGTTGGAAGTATCACCAAGGGCAATACACTCAGGATATATAGTCTGTTAAAAGATAAAGAGAATAACAAGAGTAAATTCAGCCTAATAAGTCACTTCAATAAGATTTGTTCAATACGTGTTATGATTTATGTAAAGAAAATAAACAAATTAGTATTTGATTTAAGAAGGCCAGAATATACATTTATATTATATCAGTGATATATCAGTGATACTACACTCTATCTGGACAGGTATTTTAAGATTTGTAACATTTTAAAAGGATGGGTTTTTTTTGGTTTCTCTGCAGACAATCTTCTTCTGTTCAGCGGCTTCTTTCAGGGCTCTACAAGAGTCTACCCCGGTTATAGCTAGATATCCTTCAGCCTTATCTATTCTGCATCAAATACAGCTCATACATAGTCTATTTTAACCCAAATACATTCAATTCAGTATTGAATTAAGCTTTTTTCGCTGGTGCAGCATAAAACTTAACCAATGTGTTTGCAGTCAGGAAATGAACTAGTCAAGTGAATTAGTTGAAATAGTTTTTTTTTTTTTTTTTTTTTTTTAACAAAATGCAATCAAAAGAGTGGCACATATCTAAGTTCACCAAAAAAACAAAAGTACATTTTGTATGTTTTATTTTTTTCTACTTGAAGCTGCCCTACAGTCTGATCATCTTCGAACAGCGAAAAACATTCAGGTTTAATAAAAGTAAGTTGAAGTTGATTCCTGTACAATGAATCTTCTGCATCCATGCCATACTTTCAAATATGTTCACCTCGATACAGTAACTTTTTAAGTTGAGCATGTGTTAATAAAGTGGTTGCTGTGAGCTGTGAACCTTTCTGGTAATATTCTACAGTTTAAAGAGTGAGCCTCATCAGCAATGCCACTAAATCACAGTCAGCTGCACCCTAAAATACCAATATGTTTGGTAATAAATTTTCAGCACCCCTCTAATGGCAGCATTTGTCAGGGCTGCCCCAACTGTCTGGGACGGCTTCTGACTTGCGCGACCCAGGCGGCCAGAAATGTGGCACTCCCCGTCTCCTCCACAGCTGCCCGCACAGTTGGGCCC